CCCAGCTTTGCCAGTGCCCCTCAATCCCGACCCGCAGCCCCCTGCTATCCCAGCCTTGGAATGCACCCCACCCCCAGCACTGCCAGTACCCCTTAACCCCTTCCCATAGCTCCCTGCTATCCCTGCCCTGGCTCCCCCAGCCACACAGCTCTCCGGAGGCCTTCAGTCTGCCAGGCCAGTTAAGGCAGAGATGCCCAGCAATATTGGTACATTAGTGACATGGTCAGAAAACCACACTGGGAACTAGACAGACGCCCCGCTCCATTTCACTGGTGGCGTGAGCTGCAGAAACAGCCCTGGCCGGCAGCATCACCCAGCCAGTCCCTAGGGTGCACCGGCTGCACCCACTTGTGGGACCTGGAGTCCAGCAGGAGGGCGATGGGAGCAAACCCAGTCCCCAACCCTTGGCAGGGGGCGCAGGGGGGCAGTGATGCATGGGAGGCAGGCAGCAGTGCATTCTGGGATGCCAAGCACACCCTCTCAGGCAGGGGGAGGGGGAGCCCAGCACCCCAGGTGGCCTGAGTCCATACATAATGCACTGGAATTGCTGTGCAGTGACCTGCGTCCCACCAGAAGGGCAGCCGAGGCCATGGGGCTGTGCCAGGCATCATGTCAACGATGTAGGGGCCAAGTGTGGAGTGGCAGCACGTCCCAGAGAGGGCATGGCCCCCCAGGCAGCGATGAATGGAGTTTGCGCCTTGCCCACCCCACTGCCCCCATGGTGGCAAGATGTCAGCAAGGGGAGCGAGGTGCCCCATGCTATCGGCACCAAGCCCACGGCATCCCACAGCAGCTTCCTCACCCTTTGACCTGGACAGAGACAGCTTGGGAAGGCCTTTGGAGCCCAGATCACCCCCTGCAAGGGTGCTAGAGATGCCATGGCCTTGCTGGGCTGCTCTCCAGCTAGGCACCTCCTGCATCACCATGCCCATTCCTGCAGCAGTCACATGAGCCTGGCACCTCAAGCAAAGAGTCACTCCTGTGCACAAGCTAAGCAGGCTGCAATAGGCTCACAGCTTGGAAGGGAGACCTCTAGGCCAACCTCATTTCCTTCTCTGACAGGCTTGCTGGCCTAGTAGACGGGGGGACAGTAGAAGTGACATTTGAGTGAGGTGTTTGACCCAGTCTCATAAGCCAGTGGTTTTCAACCTCTTTGCATTTGCACACCACTAAAAGATTTCAAATGGAAGTGCAGACCCTAGGCACTCCCTGCAGGACCCCCTGGGCTCTGTGGACCACAGGTTGAGAACCCTGTCCTGGGCACAGTGGTCTAGATGAAATTACTGTCTGGTGGGCGCACAACTGGCTGAAAGACCAAACACCAAGAGCAGGCTCACTGCCCAGCGGGGAGGGTGTCTCTAGTGGGTCCCACAGGGTCAGTCAATATTTTCAGGGATGACTCGGATAATGCGGAGCAAACGGCTATAAACTCTGCAGAGGCCACCCAGCTGGGAGGGCAGGAAGCACTTGGAAGGCCAGGATCAGAATTCAAAGCAACCTTGACCAATTGGAGAATTGGTCTGAATTCTGACGTTTATTAAAGACAACTGCAAAATACTTCCCTTAGGAAGGAAAAATCAAACGCCCAGGGACAAAGTGGGGCCTGGCTGGCTTGACAGGATCCAGGTTCTAGAGGATCACAAACTGACTATGAGCCAACAATGGGATGCAGTTGCAAAAAGGCCAATCTCATTCTGGGTGCATTACCAGGAGTGACGTAGGTAAGGCACAAGAAGTAATTGTCCCGCTCTGCTCGGCCCTGGGGAGGCCTCCACTGAAGGTAGGACAAGTAACAGGCTTACGCTGCAGCAAGGGGGCTCTAGATTCGAGATTAGGCCAAACCTTCCTACTGTGGAAGGGGAGTTAAGCTCTGGGCTAGGTTGTGTAGGGAGGTGGTGGAAATCCCCACCATGGGAGGGACAAAGCCCTGGCAGGGTGGTCTGGGGTGACTTGGTCCAGCCTCATTGCAGGGGCTGGAGTTGATGACTTCTCGAGGTCCCTTCCAGCCTGACATTTCTACGACTGGGAGGATGGGACCAAAAGGAGATGGGGGGGGGACCCAGGTGCCAATGGGGGCAGGGCCTGCACCAGGGGCTGGGAAATCCCTCTTCTGAGAACTCTTCAGGACAGGGCACTCCAAAAGCCTGAGGTGGGGCTTGCTTAGCCCCCAAGTAGGGGCTGGATGCTGCATGGTGCTGACCCCCAATCCTTCAGTGGGGTGGAGGGAGCCCAGCGATCTGGGTTGATGCCTGGCCAGCAGCAGCAGCCAGGCTCCCTGGGGAGGCCCCCGCAGCACCAGCCCCCCCCCCCCCCCCCCCCAGGAGGGGAGCATAGGGCCTTGGGTCACCAAGGCAGCGGGTTTGGAGTCCTCAGGCCACTGGAGCTGGATTCCCAGCAGGGCTGTGTACTCAGAGGGGGAAGGGCAAGGGTATTCCCTGGAGGGAATCCCCTCACTGCCCTGCCACCCGTGCCCTGGCTGGGCAGTGGACTGGGGGGGAAGGGGGGGGAAATGACGGAGATTGTTGCAATCTCAAAAAGCTACTTCCCCAAAGCAGGACGAGCTGCTCCCAGGGACAGGGAGGCACGCGGGGTCACTGGTGGGGGAAGGGATTTAGGGACTCCTGCTCACTCAACGCCAGAGTTTGCTGGTGATGCAAGATGGCCCACCCCAGGA